ATCTGGGTTCTTGGGCGCTTATTGTTTTAATGAAATTTTTGGTGGTGGTTGTTTTGGTCCTGAATGTGATTTTAGCTGCGAGTAACGTGTCCTCGCTCCTCTCGGGCTCCCTCGGAGGGTTTTCAGAGAGGTCTCAGTGCATCCATTTTTTTCAGATCCTTTCCTTCTTTCGGGGGAAAGATCTGGGGCCCTGCGGGCGCCTCGGAGCGCGAAGGCCTTCGGCTCAGGCTCCGAGAGAGGTGCGCGGCGGCCGGGGCAGCTCCGGGGCGGCGGCGGCGGCGGCTCCGAGCTGGACGCCGTGAGGGGAGCGAGCGGATTTTCCCAGCAAGATCTCCATGTACAGCTACATCTTTAGGGCCGCTCGGGTTAATATATGTCGTCAGAGGCTCCTCACGCCAATCCCGGGGCGGCGGGGGCGGCGCCTCGCGCTCTCCGCAATAAAACTTTTTGATGTTCCCGTCGCTAATTGCCGAGGTCCTCTCCCAGGATTGGCTGCCCCTTCATAACCATAAGATAATTAAAACGAGGGGGGGAGGGTTAAAAAAACTTTTTTATCATCCAGAGGTTAATGCAAGTGTTTAACAGATGCTTCATTATTTAAAATATCTCCCCCCCCATCTCAAATATTGAAGAATCTCAAAACAGGTACAGTATCTCTCCGTTTTTGCTGGTGTTTTTTTTTCTCTCTCCTGGTTTAAAAAAAAAGGGGGGCACGCAGATATTGCTTTTCGAAGCGTTTGGTAGGTAATGGAGGCAAGAAATTCAGNGGCTCGTGGTCCGGTCACTGACCCACCACCTTACCCGGGGCCCGGACCGCCCGGCACGGCTCAAGTCACCGTGGCTGCTTTTGGAGACCACGGGGGAGGCCCCGCAGGGCCGGGCGGGCGGGTCGCAAACCCTCCTCGCTCCACGTTCTTCGGGGACAGCGGCCCTTGCGAAGACCTTGGGCGGCTTCAAAGCGCAGGCACCTCGATTCCCCGAATTCGTGGTGTGGCCAGTACCGGTGTTCCCCTGGTTTAACTAGCCTGTTTGGTAAGTAACTGAATATTTTTTACAGCGTGTTCAGAGCTTATTTTCCAGTTTTTATGAACAAACATATAAATATATCTCTGCATTCCTGCCTCTCCCATAAAAGCGGGCATCTGTGGAAAGCAGGTTTAGTTATCGGAGGGGAACCATTAAACACCAGTTTAAGAGGCAGGCCAGGAGGACGGCTCGTGGATGTTTAGACTGCTGGCCTTGCTTGGTGATCTTGAACGCATTAGAACGGAAAACGGATCTCCACTTGTAAGTCACCGGGCCGCGGGGCACCCGGGCCGGCGCCCCCGCGGCGTGAGCGCCTCGGGGAAGGACCGCGGGCGGCTAGCGGGACGCGCGGCGGTGGGACCGGACAGTGCTGGGGCCGAAATTACCCATCGGTCTGTGACCATCCTCGAGGGGAGGCTGATGTGTGTAGATAAGGGCGGTGGGCGAGGGTTCCACTCGATGGAGTGCGATGTGGGAAAGCGTGTCAACATAAGCCCTTCGGGCCATAAATTAGAGGGACGGGAGGGCAGAACTGCAGAAGCCCGTGCGGGCTGGTGGGCCTGGCCAGGGGAGCCCAGGGCAGACCAACGACTCCACCTGGTCACCCATCGCCCTTTGGAGGCAGGCCGAAAAGTGAGTCCGAAGGAGCCGGCGAGGACAGTCCTTACCTGGCCCGCTGGGTGCTTTCTGTGGGGTACAAAGTTCAGGGATGGAAGGCACGGCCAGGGCAACGGAGGGCAGGGTTGGGGGCGTCCAGCTCCGTTGCTGCTAGGGATTCGAGGCCGGAGCTGCCAGCAACCAGGGCCCAGAGCCCTGGGAAATATATTTTAGGTTTGCTGCGGCAGGGTGGTAGCAGAGGGGAAGGAACTCAGAGAGGGATGGAAAGGCTGGCTGGGAGTCCAAGCAAGGCCCATTCCGTCCCCTCCGCAGGAGGCCGGTTTCCCTGGGCGCCCTCAACGGGATGTCTCGAGGCAGAGAACAGGGAGTGGAGAGCAGCTGAAGCCAGATTCCTTGGTAAGTGCCAGGGACTTGCATTTGGGCTCGGAACAGAACAGGGCTCTAGAGCTTCGAACCTCCAACTTGGGTGGGTCTGCAGTTTTGAACACAAGAAGAGCCTTTTTAAGACCCTGTTCTTCTAGGAAAGAATATAGGTAGTGTGGTCTGGGCTCTGTTTACATTTTCACCGGGAGGCAAACCCTGAATGTGTAAATACTGGTAGTTCAATCCCCTGACATTTGATACATTTTAAAAAAAAGTCTGTTTATAAAAACACATCTAGGCCTTGGGAGCATGTAGACGAAGTAAGATGGTTGCACCCTGGCAGGGAACAGATAAAATTCACAGAGAGTAGTTGGTAGTCTGCTTTCAGACTCAAAGGGAGTTTTGGGAATTGCACGGAGGAAGAAGAGCCCAGGAGAGGGCTGAGTTGGAGATTGGGATGCTGTGTCCACCAGAGACAAGTGGCCTCAGTGGAGAAGGCTTCAGAACTTGCCTTGCCAGTCTCATGATCTTTTAATTAAAACTACAACAACAACAAAAGTGAGCGAGTCCCTTCATGGTCCCAGATAGTATGGCGAGTGATAAAAGAGACGGACAACAAGGGACAGAAAAAAGTCGTAAAAGATGCTAATCTGAGCATCAGTCCTCACTGACAGTGTCATTATCAGTTAATTAATGTGGTCCAAGGGTCTAGGGCTTCATTTATCTCAGAAAGCCAAACCCAGGGGCTACAGCTTTAGAAAGGCGGCTTGGAGGCAGGGGACATATGGGTGAACTCTCGTGTCTTCAGCTGGAGTTACTGCCTCAAACAGGCCAGACTAGCTGAGCTGCACTCTGAGGTCTCAATCAAATGCAGCCGCTGTCCCCCCTTAGTGTTCTCCTTGGCACATTTTCTCCAGGTGTAGCGGGGTGCTGGGTTAGCTTGCTGTTTTTGGAAAGCTGTGAGGCAAAGATGCCATGCCAAGTTTGCCCCCAATTCAGGTGTTCTGTGCCTTCTTGAGAGGGGTAGTGATGAAAGTGATGGTAGTGGCAGTGATTGAGAGGGAAAGTAGGGGGAAAAAAGGGAAGGAGGGTGTAGTTTCAGGCTTAGAGGTCAGCCCAGTGACCCCACCCTAAGGCTGTACTAGTGTGGCCTCTGGTGCACTGTTCCCCAAAGGGCACATTTTCTGAGTACTCAGAGGGCCCCAGCTGCTGAGATGATGCTGGCTGGGGGCAGCCCTAGGGTGGGTGCCCACAGGAGCAGTCCTGGTGAGGGCATACCTCGCACCTCTCCTTCTCCTAGGCCAGGGGCTGCAACTTTTCTTACGTGGGTTGGTCTGGAGACTGCTTCACAGGGGGGCCACCGGGGTTTGGGGGAATGTTTGTGATCCCGTGTCCATGGTCTTTGTTGTAGCTGATGGTGTACTCCGTGCTGCACATTACATCTGCCTCCAACTAAACAGACAGAACCGGGTTCAAACATTTATTTTGCGCCCATGTCCCTGTCTCTTTCCCTTCACTCCCACCCCTTCCCTGGAAAAGATTCAAAGAGCACGAGAGAGGCTGAGCACTCCCTTGCAAACACTTTGGTCTTGTGAGATACTACTTTTAAAATCAGTCTGGTTTAAACTAATTTTTTTTTTTTTTTTGAAAAGACTTCGGTGTGTTTTAGGGAAAATACAGATCTTCTTGAGGTATTTATTATTCCAAAGGCAAGGGCAGTTTCTATCTTGTGTTTTGCTCGTGAGAACTCAAAATAAACTGGACCTGAGACGAACCAGGCCAAAGGGCCATAAACACACATTTTATGTTTACGGGAATTATGGCTCAATTCCCTTTGTTGTTTTTAAACCTTGTTCTACCTTATTTTCCCAACCAACACAAGAAGTAGTGGAGCATTCCCTTACATATCTACAATGAGCTTATATAAAGTGAACCCCAGAAACCCATCAAACCCAGGAGGTGGCAGAAGAAGCAATGCGTTCTTGAAGATGTAACCCGGCCCCACCTGCTCCTAGGACGGTGCTTCCTGTGAC